TTCAATAGAGAACGCCTTGAAGCACTTGCCTATTGGGAATCCTTCGATGGCGATGAGCGGCATCGAGAGGAAAAATATGTTTGATTTTACAGGAAGTACCGCAGTAGTAGCGGCGATTCGGAATGGGGTCATAACTGTGGCGAACTGTGGTGATTCCCGAGCGGTGCTTTGTCGAAGTGGCAGAGCTGTAGAGCTGAGTCATGATCATAAACCAGAAAGCCCTAGTGAACGACGAAGAATTGAAAATGCTGGAGGTAGTAATTGTAACCTATTCTGAATCCTCCTATTCTGGGTAACCTTGGATATCCCCCAGGTAAAGTGATGTCGATGGGACCATGCCATCGGATAGATTGGGGCCTTAACCTTTCACGTGCCCTCGGGGACTTTGTGTATAAGAGGGCCGAAGAGCTGCCTGCTGAGGAGCAAAAGGTCTCTTCTATGCCTGATATCGTCACGGAAGAGATCACTGATGAAGATGAATTTATGGTGGGTTATAGTCGCCCGGGCTCGTTTGCTGATATTGTCGAGTTTTAGGTCCTCGCATGTGATGGGGTGTTTGAACTATTGTCATCTCAAGATGTAGTCGATTTCATAAGCCGTCGGTTGAAGAGTGGCGAGAAGCTGCACACTGTCGTAGAGGCCCTTCTTGATGAGTGCTGTTCGAGGAATCCTAGATTGACCCAAGGCCGCGGTACTGATAACGAGACATGTGTGATTGTTAGTTTAAATGGTGTTGGTACTTCTGGTAGCTGTAGTAATAATAATACTAATGTAACAGCGGATGTCCATTTTGCTCCAGCAAAGGCCAACATCGACAACAACAAGCTCGAGCAAAGCGTTGGTGATGCTCCGGTATCTGAAGATGCATCACCTCTTTGTAGTAACTGATGGTAACCGCTTTCACTATTTATCTATGGCTATATGTACTATGGTGAGAAGTGTTGTTCTAAGTAGTCATCATCTTCTCCTTTTCTCAACAACTATATCTTGTGTTACACAAGTGAACTCCTCGACAACACAACAATTCTCTGGGGATCTGCCGCTTCGTAATTCCGCCGGGTTTGAGGAAACTCGGACTTCTGTTGGAAACATCCGAATTTGAAGAACGCCATCAGCAGGCATCTGCTATCACTGACATGCGGCCAATATAGTATACCTCTTCATCGGAATCGGCCCCACAGCGGAAAAGACCGCGGGGTTGTATCAACCCGCAAGGAGGAAATATTTAATCGAGCTGGCCTATTTGAATTTGCTCAGGTATTTGAGGCGATTGATCATGTATAAGGAAGTGCTGTATCTTAGGTATGAGGACGGTCAAGTAATATTTTCCTTCCCGGTGCCTATTGTATCAGTCTTACCACAACAGCAACGACTAGCTTCGTATCAGCCCAGAATCACTCTAGTCTACCGCATCTTGACATCAGAGTAGTTTGAAATCGCGATAGCATCCTCTGAGCCGTCACCAGACACAGTACTATCCTTTATGAAATCACCTTCAAATTCCCACCCATCATGATTTCACGGCGCGTGGTCATCGCCAGGATGGTCCCCACTCTGACCACACCCATCAAGATATACCAATGCGAACTCGCTACTCACAGCCTCCCACGGGCTCAGGAATGTCTACTACTGATTACGATCGCATCACCACCACTACTTCCAAGAACCACTCGTCAAACATGCCCGGCGTTGGTGACCATCTCATCATCACTTCCCCTCTTTACTTCATAAACTCAATATCATAATATAAGAAACTTTATCGAAAAAACTCATGCATCGATCGCCTCCTCACTCCGCCCCAGACACTTGGCTCGACCTTGGGGAGGACTCCTCATCGAACAGTCCCGAGAGCACCTTATCATCAAGCCTCACCATCCTCATCCTCACCAACTACGCATCTTACCGATGGTTTCAGCATTGGATTCACCCCCAGATCCGAGAGTAGAGTCCACTCCGTCTCCGCTCCTACCACCACCTGACCACAC